AAATTAGCTTTCCTTTCTTGTTTTTGGCTAAAACCACAATTTTGTATTATATTTTTTTATTAATGACTGTATTATTAACTTAATTACACCCTAAGAATGCTACTCTGTTTGTTAAGTTACGAAATTACAGAAATATTTTCTATTAAACGTAAGAAAAAATATATTTTAAGATTCAAATGAAGTTTTTATTGAATATATCTAGTCCTGTTTGCCATTTGGCCACCATACTTTCAGTATAAGGAGTAACAGGGAATAGGAAAGTTAGGAATTAGGAATAAGGAAGGGAACCATATTTATATATAAACATCTTAATTTTTATTTAACTTCTAAACTCTTTATATTTTTAAATAAAATTCAAAAAAATTGCGCGATTAATATCGATAGTTTAAGCTTGTTACAAACTTTTGGAAGCACGGTTCCTTAAGCTTTGGCGGATTACCGTTATTCGCGCACTGGGGAGCAGTGTTGTAAGCTGCCAAACAGTGTTGTTGGCCCAGAAAGGCGATTCAGCTGCCCGTCGCACCCCCAGGTCCACATTCAGTATCCTCTGCTTCTTCCCCGAGGGAACGCTGCTCCTGCAGCTCGTCGCGTGTGATTTTGTTGTTGTGTGTTGAATGTTTATTGTTGTTTTTTGCAAATTTTATTACCCAAAAATTAGTGAGAATTGTTATAAGATTTTTTTAAAAAATAAGCCCAATCAAGTTGTAATAATTGTAAGCTGTGAAAACTGCCAAATAAACTTGACAAGCGTGGAAATTCGTAGGAAAAATCTAGGAATCTAGGGAAATAGGTAAGGTCTTGCTGCTCTACTTATTTGTTATTTTTTTTTTCTGGTAGTATTTCATATCCTGTGCCCTATGGCCAAAACTGCAAATGAGCTGCGTGTGTATTTCCGCTACAACATGCTCTAGATTTGCGGTCCCAAGCCTCCCTCCACCCCCATCCTTTTTGGCCATTTTTTGATTACTTTGACTTTCGCCCGCTTTTCACTCTCCATTTCACAGTGAAAACTTTTTTCATATTCCCCGCTTTTCTTGGCTTTTAATTTTTGTTGTTTTTCCGCCAACGCCACCACCACCCATCATCATCATTATCATCATCAAGGATACCCGGGATAGTGGCTAGTGGACACTCCGAAAGGATTACAGTTGTCGCCCGATGACGTGACTGCCATTCATTTTTCGCCAGTCGTAGTCGTATTTCGGATTGTCCCATTTTTAAGGGCCTCCCCCCCTCTCCAAAAAAAAGAGGTCAGTAGCCCGCCATCTCTTAGCCGGAATACCAGGGCTCCTGCGCGTTCATATTGGCCTATGCGGCGACACTTTCGGTCCCCCGATATATACACACTATAATATATAGTGCGGTAGCACACACATATACACATATATACACATCAGATATCGGGCCAGCACCTGCAGGCAACAAAAGGCAGAGCCAGTGGAATGACCTCCCAGTAGGTTAATGAAAACTGCCACTTCTACCGCCCTCTTTGGTCTCTCATCTCGTCTCACTCTCTCTCTGGGGCAAGATGTGTGACCAATTCTTCAGCTACACTGTGAGAAATTGAAAGCTAACCAAGAAGAAATAAATGCAAGAAATGAGAGGGTTATCGACATTTTTGTTAGGCTTTCAAGGCTTTTACGTTTTCAAAAACATGATCTTCTGTTTATACAATTTTAGAAATTATTATAAAATTTATTAAGAAATTTACTAAAAAACCTTAACTTTTGGGGATAATAAAAAATGTTCTTCTATTTAAAGATCAGTGTAAAATATTACCATATTTTTAAATAAAACACCAAAGGCAGTCTTCTTTTAGGAAAAAAAAACAAAAGTTAAATTATTGAACAATAATATCCGTTACTTAATAAAAACAAATAATAACTGAAATGAAAATAAAAATATGTTTATATAAAAAATTAAAAATAAATTCAGTATAATTAAATATACATATACACATTTAGGAAATATTCTGGAGAGAAAGAAAAAGTGGCTTAAGCAAAAAATATACATTATGTTTCTATTAGAAGAAAATAGTTTAAATCATTAATTTTCCATTATTAAGTTCACAATTCTTTGATTCTCATTAGAAAAATAGTTTAAAATACAAAACAAAAGCTAGCTTTATTATTAGCTTTATTAAATACTAAAGTACAAAGTCTTCATTTAATATTAATGATATTTTCATTATATTATAATTTAGATCTATGTATATTTATTATTTTTATATTTTATAGTTATAATTTCCTTTTTAAACTTTTTTTTATATACTCTTTTAAAAGTAAAATATTTCAAACCAATTCACCCTTTTCCGAATTAATTTTTTTTTCTCACACATTTCTTTCAGTGCATTTGCACTTTCAAGTGCCTCATTAAACCCTTATCCACTTGGTAATTACACGGTATGGTTGGCTTTTTATGCGCAAAAGTCACCTTCACTTTTAGCCAAGTTGCAGTTTGTAATTTCCTGATATTAGAGGGTATTCTCAGGGCGAATTCTCGAGCCTTATAAAATAAATTACTCCATAATGCATTTATAGATGCCCGGGCAAATAATTAAAGCGATTTAATAGCCGGCTCAATGAACCGAATCCAATGCAGAAGAGTGACATTATTAGGACCTTGAATTTAGACACTAAAGGGGGGAATATATAGATATAGATACATTATATTAGATAGATATATGTATATGCGAGTATTTATGGGAGCTTAGAAACACTTTCATTTTATGAAACTTGCCAAGTACAGTCATGCTTCAGTAAGCAAGATTTTGTTGCACTTTATAGTGAGACATTCGACTTTTGAGATTATTTATTATCTATTTTTATATAAATATTTTGTTTTATAAATTTTAATGTTTTTAAAAATATTTTAAATATTAATATTCTATACCAGACATCTTTAGCAACTGATATAATTCATAAAACCTAAAATTTACCTCACAGCTGTGTGCAGACATTAATTACTCACCAAGTCCACCCTAGCCAGGCTTCACTGTAGTCCCTTCCAAGTCCTGTTACCTAAGCCTCTTAAGAGTGCTTGGCAACGCCGCCATCTGGGTTGATGGAAGGCGTAAGAGAAGAGCTCAGGCCAAGCTGTCAGTTCTCCCAGGCGCAGCAGAGTGATCCATTGTCAACGTAATACCGCCCCCTTCTGGTATTCCTGATACCCCTCTCCCTTCACACTCCCTTTACCTTCTCGTGACTTTTCATTGTCGGTGCTTTGAAGTGGCAATGCTGCGTCTTGGGTTTCAAATTCAATTCAAAAACTGTCAAAGTTTGTGACTGAGAACGAGAACGAGCACCTGTCCCCGCCCCTCAGAGCACACGCCCACCTATACCCAAACGATGAGGCAAATCGCGGAATGTAAAGCGATGCGAGATGAAAGTGTTTTCAAATTCCACCCCCCCACCATCTCCCCACTGCCCATCAATTTCCTATGAAAACATTTGGGTTTTATTTTCGTTTTCGAACCAAATCGGTGACTCATATCTGTATCTTTATATGAAGGATGTATCTGTGACAGTTTCAAAAAGGAAAGTGCATCGATATTGACACAGCCATGGTATTTGTTTTATGGAATTGATAAAAGATACTTCAATTATTTATTATAATTTTGTACATTTATTATACCCTTGCAGAGGGTATTATTATTTATTTTTAAAGTAGTTTTTTAAGACTTTCGGAACTGCTGGGAAAGCTTTAACTTGTACTTTCTTTCTTCTGGGTTGAGACGTTTTCTTCGTCTTCTGAGCCTGTTTTCCTGACGGAATCGGTCTTCTAGAAAAACTGATTATAGCTACCTTCTGGTTTTGGACGTCTTCTTGGTCCTTTGACCCTGTTTTCCAGGCGGAATCGGTCTGAGTTGTGTCTTAATTATAGTGAAGGTAGGAGTGGTAGTGAAGCTGGTAGGAGTTACCTATTATTAGGAAGGACTGCACTTCCTATGGAACTAACTACTTAGTTCCTGGTTGTCTAATCCCTCCCATGTTTTCCCAATAGATGTGCATTGTTTTGGACTTGTCTTGGGCTCTTAGACTTGTCCTAGAGCTGACTAAAGATCACAGTATTGGGTTACGGATTTTATACTTTTTACTGGGATAAACTGTAGAGACAGACGATCCCTGTCGATCTTAGTTATCCTGAAAAAAAGGATAACCAATGATCAATCTGTAAAATATATAGAAGAGTGGAGATAAGTTACTGTCCAATTAGATGAACTTGTGCTTCAGGAACAGCTGAATTTTTCAAGTCTATTTGGGCCTACCTTGACCAATAAATATAACCTCTACTGTTTCCCTGCCAAGGGGGACCCAAATAGTCTGCAAAAACACATCCTGAAAGAGCATATACCTAAGGGAAAAATGGAATACAATGGCATTAACATATAAGAAGGCTCGACTGGGAAACAGCACCTGATTTCTCTGAGCCTTTTGTGTCCAAGAATGTTTTGGGTATAACAGAATGTTTGGAATGTAATCCCCAGCATGCGTAGACCATGATACAATTTATCATGATAATTGGTTAATGATAATTGTATCATGGGAAAGACATAACACAGGAACAACAGACTTGGTGAAAAAAAGGAACCAGTTCGATAACCAATTTGTGTCTAAGTTGTGATATAAAAATAAGCATATTTATGTTTCCAATAAAATCAAAATATGCCCCATTTTTTGCACACTGCCCATTTTTCGAGGATAAGTCTACCCATGTCCGGAATTCCATCCAATAACTTGATGAACTCCTGAACTTCCAACTCAAAGCTACCAAACCCTTGAACTTGGAGCCTTCAGTCAATCTTTTTATAAATATATGAATTTTTTTTTTTAATTTTTTAATAAAAACCGCTGGAAGTACAACCTTTCAGCTCCGAGCCAGAAAAATAGCTAAGTTTCTCTATCGATACACCTTTTGGCCAAGCTGATCCAAGTAGGCATTGGAATTTTTAAATGAAATGTCAGTCAAAACTGATGACTTCAATTCACATTTCATTTCGAAGCGTTGTATCGGCTTTCTGAAAGGCTCTCTCTAAAATCTATAAAAATAAAAAATTTAAAACCGGATAAAGTTAATAATCCACGATCATCAATGGACGAGAGAAACACAAACGCGTTCACCAAAATCTTACTGATTGGCGACGTGCGCGGACGCTTCAATCGACTTTTCCAGCGCGTGGAGCAGGCCAACGGAGGGATGGAGGGACCCTTCGATCTCCTCTTCTGTATCGGCGACTTCTTTGGCGACGATAAGCAAAACGACGAACTGATGGAATACTATATAAATGGATTTAAACGTATTCCACTACCTACCTATGTCCTCGGGCCCACTAAGAAGGAGCAGGCCAAATATTACGAAGATCTGACTGATGGGGGAATCTGCCCCAATCTCCATTACCTGGGTAAGAGAGGTATTTACACAACCAGCAACGGGGTGAAAGTGGCCTATTTAAGCGGTGTGGAAGCCACTGGAACTAAAAACTCCGAGCATGAGTTTACCAAGGATGATGTCAATGCTGTTAAGAACGCGTGTCTGGATGCCAAGAATCGCACAACTGAATATCGTGGTGTGGATGTCCTACTGACCTCTCAATGGCCCTATGGGGTGCAGGAGGAACAAAATGCTTCTGCATCGAAATTGATAGCTTATCTTTGCCGGGAAATAAAGCCGCGCTACCACTTCTGTGCCATCAATGGCATCAATTATCATAGCGCGCTCTTCCGTATGCCCAAGGATGACACCACCCAATTGGAGCTATCTACTCGTTTCATTCCCTTGGGTGAAGTGGGCAATGCCAACAAGGCCAAGTACATTTTTGGTCTGAAACTGAAATCGGTAGAGAAATTCCTGTTAATGGAACTTCTCGAAAAGACAACTGATGAAATACCCTCGCCATTTATTGGCTTAGATCTGGAAAATTCCAAGCGTAAGCTACAACCTGATGATCAGAACACAAAAAACCAAAAGCGTCCTAAACTAACTCAAAATGATGAAGAAAAATGCTTGTTCTGTCTATCATCACCGGATGTGGAGAAACATCTATTTATTACCATTGGCAAGGACTTTTATCTGGCATTGTCCAAGTCACCCATCAACAAGAACCATGTCGTGATAGTGTCCACCAAGCATGTGGCCAGCGCCGCCCAGTTGAGCTCCGAGGAGTGGGAAGAGCTTGGCAAATTCAAGACGGCACTTAAGGAATACTTCGGTAGTATCGGACAAGTTGTGTGCTTCACAGAGGGCCATTACAAGTCGGTTCATCTGGTGATAAATGCCATGGCTTTCGAAAAAGAACTCGCATCGAAGTTGAAGCAAAGCTTTGAGGAAAAAGCCAAGGATATTAATTTGGAATTCGAAACTTTGGCAGCATTGAATTCTCCGAAAATGCTCCCCAAAATGGGGACATATTTTGTAGCCGAGCTGCCCAACGATACTACTCTGATTATGCGAGAAATGAAAAATTGTCCCATTCACTTTGACAGAGAGGTTTTCTGCTCAAAGAATCTACTGGATTGCGAGGAGAATATTAATTATAACGATTGCCTCATGGAAAAAGGCGTAGAATTGCGTTTCGTAGAAGAGTTCAAAAATGACTTTGAACCATTCGACTTTACAGAATTTTAAATGAAAAAGTTGTCTTTATTTACATATATATAAAAATATAATGTCATGATGGTTATATAACTGCTGAGGCCATGCTGACAGATCATCCAAATAAATGCTGATAGAATATATATATCGTTACTGCTATTTGTTTCTATTGAGGATGGTACTGGGTTGTCTTTAGGTTTTCTCTTAAGAATCTTTAATATTTAGCCATTTTTTCAAAGCCTACTATTTTTGATGATTTTTAAAACGAAATTTCATTAAAGGTCTTAAATATTAAAGCCAAAATAGATAAAGCCAATAACTAGTAATAGGTTCTCCCAAACCCTAATATCTTCCAGAAAATTTCTAAGAAATGTCTGCGAATCGTAGGAGGTAAGCTATCTATGGAAGGCACTCCGCTAGCGATGATGTCCTTTGCCAGCCTGGCGCTCCTGCTGCTGGCGGTCCTGGTGATGGGCATCCTCTTCGCCTGCCACTGCCTCGGCCCGCGGGCCGCCAGCTGGATGAGGATGCGGTCCAGCAAGGAGGAGAAGATCGGTCTCTCCAACCACAAGCACAAGCTCTTCCATGCCAACGGCTACATGGCCAGTGTAAGTATTTCCCTTGTCTAAACTCTTTTAGAGGCCATGTCCCTCATTGTCCTCACCTGCAGATCCAGTCCGGCTCGGAGTTCCTGCTGAGCACCAGCGGCAGCTTCAAGCGCTTCGATACCATCGACAAGGACGACCACAATCGCTCCCAGCAGCTGCTCCTGATGAATGGTTGTCTGGTTGGAGGTTCTGGTGGTACGAATAACACCCTGGAGGTCACCACCCCGCTGTGGAATCTGCCCCAGGCGGATGTCAGCATTCCGCCCCAACCGCTCCGGCCCGCCCCGGCGCCAAATAGTGCCGGCCCGGCCACCAAAACCGTAACCTTCTCCTTCAGCCAGGACCAGGAGCCGGCCGACCCTGAGCACCGCTCCTCCTGCCTGCGCCAGAACGGATCAATTTCCAACGGAGTCCTGCCTCAGCCCTTGGAGGCACCGCCACCGCCACGGCTCACCACCTCCGCCTCCGTGAATCTGTCGGCCACCGCCATTCCCCGGCCGATCGCCAAGCGGCTGGTGGGTCAGGCCTTGAACGGGATGCCCCAGGATCCGCAGCCGGAGGTGGAGCACCAGCCAGAGATACTGCCGGAGACGGAGCGCCGCATCCCAGCCCTCAAGCGAAGGAACTCCAGCACCAATCCCTTCCTGTGCGAGTCCACGGAACAGATGCCTCCGGGTCTTCCGGCGGCAGATCCTCCAGTGGCCACCATCTCTGCTCCTGCAGGGACCTCGTCGGGTGAGTAGTCCAGAGAACTATGTACTCTTCTTACCTATAGTAATGTCGTGTAGTTTCCACAGCCACCGCCTCTGTATCCTTGCCCTCTCAGTCACTTCCTGTCCAAGCAGCTTCCTCGGAATCATCCAACCATCACAATGGCAATCCCTTCGTGGACACCAACAGTCTCTCCAGTCGCCTGCTCAAGCTCCAAAACACCACGAATCCTTTCACGGGCCTCTCGCAGCGCGTCAAAGGACCTCATCTGCTGCAGAAGACCATCTCCGAGGACTACCTCTTCCGGAAACTGGGCATGAACGGTGGATCGATGGCCAATGGCAACGGATCGGGCCATGTGAATGGCAATGGCAACGGCACTTGGTCCTTTGGGCGGTCCTTGCTGCGCCAGGACTCGACTCTGAGCCTGGGAATGGGCCTGGGCAGGCGAAACAGTTCCCAAGTCTCTCTGGACTCCGGGTCGGGATCGGTGGCCGGGTCCATGGAGGGCATCAACCTGGAGCGAGCGGTGTCCTGCGACTCGGTTACCTCGGAGTCCAACCTGATCCTGGAGCAGCTGGATCAGCCTTACACTCAGATCACAGGATATCTCTGCGTGGGACTGCACTACGACAAGTAAGTCCTTTGGAATAGTACAAGTCCTGCTGGTATTTATCCATTGTTTCGAAGGAACTGCATCAGCACGGAGGGCATGGAGCTCACCGTCAGTGTTCTGGAGGCCAAGGGACTCATCTGCCCCTTCAGTGTGGATTCGCTGGACACGTTTGTGAGGATCTATCTGGTACCGGATCATCCAGGAGCCATGCAAACGAAGGTAACTAAAGACCTGCTCCTTGAGGATATGTCCACCACTTCCTGTCGTATCCTTCCAGGTGGTTCGTGCCACAGGAACTCCCAACTACAACGAAAGCTTCAACTTTTGGCTGCAGAAGCGCCAGGCCCGGCACTCGCTGTGGTTCCACCTCTACCACAACGGCCCCGCCCACACGCTCATCGGGGAGGCGGAAATGGAGATCGGGGAGACGCCCAAGCCGATCACCACCTGGATACCGCTCTCGGACTCCCGGAAGTGCAACGCCCGCTGGGGCGAGCTGATGTTCTCGCTCAGTTACCTGCCGACGGCGGAGCGGCTCACCATCGTGGTGGTGAAGGCCCGGAACCTCAAGCTGGACCCCGATCCCGAGGACATGCCGGCCAAGAAGAAGGACCAGCTGAAGCAGCAGCATCAGCAGGAGAGTAAGGAGCAGGATCCCATGGACACCGTGCAGAGTGTCTTTGTCAAGGTAAGAGATGCTCGTAATCCCAGCAAGTACCTTCCTGGAACTGGAACTGTCTTCTCCTCCCAACAGGTCTACCTGATGGATAACGAGCGCAAGGTCCTGAAGAAGCGCACCTCCCTGAAGCGCAAGGACCGCGGCCCGATCTTCAACGAGTCGGTGATCTTCAATGTGCCGCCGCCCAGCCTGACGACCGCCCGGCTGCGGCTAACGGTGTTCGGGGTGACCGGCGGGGGCGGACTGCTGCCGCTGGGGCACGTCGTCGCCGGCAGCTGTGCAGTGGGGAAGGGGTTGCGCCACTGGCACCAGATGCTCTCCTCGCTCCGCAAACCGGTGGCCATGTGGCATGTCCTGCGGCGGGCGATCAACCAGCCGGTGTTTGCGGGCGGGGCCGAGGCGGTGGTGGCCGCCATGCAGAGCACACTGCAGCGGACCAGCGTCAAGCGGAACAGCATAGTCTGAGCGGTGTCTTCTGATCGGGTGATGCCCAATTTCCATCTGGAAAATTGCCGATTTTCCTCACATCTCGCGAGGATTTTTCCTACATTTTCTACTGCTTCCCCTTAAAAAAAAAAATATACAAAAAAGGATAATACCAGGAATACCAGGAATAAAAACCAGAAGTATTAAGAAGTATGTAATCTAACATTAAAAACCCGCACCAAAGGACAACGAGCCTGTTTACTAGTTATATATCTACACTGTCGCGCACTAATTGTTATGTAAAGATTTCTATATATACCGACTATATACACAAACACTATCTGCCGGATCTACGGTTATGGATACAGCAACTGAAATAATTGTAAAACGAGAGGTGGTTTTTACGAAGGGTTTTTAAATAACTTGTTTTAAATTTAAAAGTTTTTATCTAAAATATAGGAGTTTTTTAAGGTAGGGGTTCTTCATTTAAAAAAGTTTACGAAAATCAATCTATCCAGATATATTCTAAATTCTTAAAGTAGTTTATGAAATCTTTGTTTAAGCTTTAAACACTTGAATTTTAAAACCTTAATAATAATTTTTAAATCAAAATCTTTTCCAATGTTTTTGAAATTAAACCTCTGATTCTTTTAAAGATTCTTAAAGAAGTCTATTATATATTTTCAAAAAACCATATATTTACCATTTATTTAATGACAAATATTTATTACTTTAAATGCCTTTTATAAGCTTTCGAAATTTAACCAATAATCCCCAAAAGATTTCCTATGATATCTTTCCTATAGCTTATGATATCTTTTCCAAAATACTCCTATTTTAAAACCTTATAGTCCTATTAAAAAAGATACATAATTACCAAATCATCATATTTTCGATCGAAAGATTCTCTAAAATGTCTACAATATCTTTTTTAAAAGACTTCTATTTTAAAACGATTTGATATTCCAATCTAACTAATTCTTATAAAAATTAAAATAATTTCTCATTTAAAAAATTCATTTTTAAAATATATTTCAAAATTTTAGAACCAATTTCCAAACCCGATCTAAATTATGCATTTTTCAAAAAACCCCAACCCCAAATGACATGTGTATTTTGTTTCAATTTCATCGCCCAAATGTTTCAAAACTCCAACCACTTGACATCTCGAATTTCTTCCAGAAACTCTGCCCTTGGCAGCCACAGGCCAGGTGGTGGCCACCTCTAGTAATTACAATTATTACGCGTGCTGTATACCCAAGTCCTGTTTATATTGAAACTCTATGGATAGATTGTCGTTTGGCAATCAATCGTTGTTAAATTTGAACTAAAAAAAATGTCAAATCCCAGTCAAAAGAACCGAAATCGATATTTATCGGAAATCGATCATTGTCGATAGTATTGATAGTATTGGTGGTGAGCCCTTTAAGAAATGTGATATGAATACGAAGTGAATACAAAATTCAGAGTGCGTCTACCAAAGCGAACACAGATCGAATCGGATAAATGAATCAAATTGTTTATAATAGTTACAACCCATAGCCATAGAATGTATTATTATATAATGCATTATATATATATATATTATATACGTATATATCGTATTAACAATCGTTTGTACCTTTTGTGATTTACGTTTGTTCGATTTTTGTAGGGCCGCGTGTTTTGTAATTAGATTTAGTTGGTTCAAGGATCAAGATTTTTTGTGGTTATATATATGTATGTATATATATATATGCCTATAGATGGACAGGACGTTTTTTCAAACAGTAAAGGACAATAACTTTGCAAGCATTTATTCTACTTAAAACAGATAATTATCAAAAGAATAATATTTAATACAAAAATGGCCCCATTTACCCTTGAATTTCCAGATTGTCCGCTGGATCCTTGATATAAAATAAACCATATATATTGTATAATTATAGAAGCCAAATAGCACTCGAATGGCACATTGTCCTTGGGCATCCTTTTCTAGTCGCACCTGTATTTTGACCAAAAAAAAAACAACAAAAATCCAAAAACCTGGCACACTTTTAGCTGAAGCTTTAATCTACGAAATCCATCACTCTAATTTTTTTTGTAATACTCTTTTTCGAATAAGGAAAGCCAGAGCCAGGACAGTGCGTTTCACAACGGTTATTCCTTTTCCATTTAAATACTTGACAACTTCATTGACATATCGCTTGATTGAAAACTGGCTGACAATCCGCCTTTAATTGGCCTGATGCCGACGAAACGCACTGTACACGCATGCTCTCATTTGTAGGAGAACGCATTTAAAAGGCATCTTTGGAAAGTCCTTTCCCCAAAAAAACACAAAAAACCAAAAAAAAATTTACGAATAATACATATATATATTGAACAAAAAACCGCTGAAGAATTTTGTCTTTTTTTTTTTTTAACCATACTGTTTGTTAGCTAAACTAATGACTAAAAAAAAACATAAGGAAAATAGTTAAAATTAAAATCGTGTTGAATTTGTATTTATACGGAAATATATGAATGTACGTGCTATATATATTATATATGAGATAATGCTACAAATTGTTATACAAGTAAACCACAATTGAGTCAAATATGATAAATAAATACGAATATTAAAGGAACAAAGCAGAAATCAATATGTATAATCTCTCAGAGTCGAGTCCAAACAAAAGGTCTACTGATGGGCGACTACAGTGGGACTTGGATAAAGGGGAAGGGATTTTTATTTTGAGGTTTTTAGGGGGAAATTTTGGTTAAGAGTTTTGGAGGAGTTAAGATATATGTATTTAGTAAGGTAAAGTAAGTATTTTTTAAGGCAAAGATTTATATATATTTTGATTTTAGAGCTAAACTTTATTTTTATTTTAAAATATATATATTAATATATTTATTTGATAATGTTTTAAAGGCTTTACAGTATTCCCAAATTGGATAATAACAATACTTGACTATATTTTTCTATGTTTGTAGATACATATTATTTATTGTGGTATATGTATGTATTTCTTTCGTCACTGTAGTACTTTAACAAGAAATATTTGTTTTCTTTAGATACCTTAACCAATTCTACTTACTTTTCTTGAAAGATTACAATTTTAAAGCTTGATTTCTCAGGTTTTTAAGAATATTTAATAGAACCATAAAATTGTACGTTTTTATTGTACATTTCATTCGTCACTGTAATATTTTAACACGAAATTATTTAATACTTTAGTTACTTTAAGCAATTATACTATTTGTTTCTCAGATAAAATATTTTCAATATTTTCAGTTCTTATGTTTTTTTTACCAAAATTTTTACAAATACCTATAATTTTCCAAGTTCCACTTACCGAATACCGATCGTGCATGAATGTATCTTTCGGATACTGATGCAGAACATCTGGGCGGCCATTGGACCGTCTATATTTAGAGACAGCGATTAGCAGCCAATGGCAGGCGAGGTACCCGACCTTCCTACCTCCCTCCCTCCTGCAGCCTGCGTCGCCAAAGTATCTGACGGATGCGGATGATACCCGAGGGACGACAACGGAAACCACTTGACGCTGCCAGACTGTCTGACGGCGACAAGTAGCCGCTGCGGTTGCCCCTTAAATGTCCGTGCTCTGTACGGGATCCTTTTAGTCGATCGGAGATCGCAGATCAGTGATCAGTAGCCCAGTAATCGAGAGTAAACCCAGTCATCTCAGTGGTCAGTGCAGAAAATGAGTCAAGATCGGAATAGCCAGCGAGAGCGACGTCTTCTGCGGACACCCAAGTGCGCGAGATGTCGCAACCACGGCGTGATATCCTGCGTCAAGGGACACAAGCGCCTGTGCCGGTGGCGGGAGTGCTGCTGCCCCAACTGTCAGCTGGTGGTGGACCGGCAGCGCGTGATGGCCGCCCAGGTGGCTCTGCGTCGCCAGCAAACCATGGAGGCACTGGAGGCCACCACTGGCGGCGGGCACCAGGCGACGGGCACAGCCTCTGGCAGCGAGGGCGAGGACTCTAGCTCACACACCACTGCCTCTCCGCCGCCTCAAGGACCTCCCAGCTGTGCCTCCACATCCTCCGCCACCCGACAGGCTCTCATGGCCCAGAAAAGGATCTACAAGCAGCGACTTCGGAGCCTCCAGCAATCCACACTTCACATCACAGCTGCCATGGAAGGTGAGTTTTTGAAAAATAATGAAATTGATTGGAATAATATCTGGGGTTGAAATTCTGGAGGTTTTTTATTTTTTTTTTAATTTATTCTTTAAAAAAAATTCAAAAAATAAAGTCTAAAGACTATGCTTTCAATATGTGGTTTTAGGAAGGAAAATTCTTGAGAAATAGAAAGGTTTTATGAATCAGAAGAATGTCTAGTTTCTAGAACAGTAACTCCAAAATATTAGGTTTTTAGAAGGCTTCTTGAAAGTAATATATAAATAATATAATAGTAGTAGGAATTAGTGGTTGATCTTAAGAGTTTCTTTTAAAACTAGAAATCGGAAACAGTTTATAGAAATATTATCGTGATACCTATGATATTATATTATATTCCGATATCTAAAGTAAATTCAAAAGATTAAAGAACCAATTAAATTTACAAATTAAAGAAAAAGAATATTATAAAAACACCATAAAATAAAAGATATGGAAAATACAAACCCCCAACCTCCGCAAGACCTTCCCCCCTTCCTTCAAAAACGAAATCTCCATGCGGAGACAGACTGTCTGGCCCGGTGAAGTGGTAACCGGAGATCGGAGATTGGTAACCCACCCGCCCAAAGATCTCCTCCAGCCTGAAGACAGGAAATGACTGATTCCCAATAGAAACAACAACAACAACAACTGGCAACAATAACAACAGCAATTATTGGACTGACGAAAAACAATTGAAATGCGATGCCTCGAAGTGTGTACGCACATTTTCCAATCACTTGAGCTGTCCGTCCGTTTTTGGAAAACTGATATGCGACCAAAACGGAAAAACCAATTGAGAGTGATAGTGAGGGAGGAGGGAGACGAGGCAGGGGCAGGGCCAGAGGCAGACACAGGGGGCAAGAGTATGTGGCAACAGCAATTGACTTTTCCATCTGGTTTCCGTACAAGTGGCGATCCTGGTGCCAGACTGTCTGGACGAGTGCGGGATTCATAGATCGTATTACCACAAAGAAAATAAAATAAGAAGTCCCAGGACCAAAGGATATACAAAGGAAGGGAGGCTGAGTTTCTTTAGTTTTGAGATCTTAAAAATAATTTAAATTATTAAATTAGAATGGTCTAGAAGATACTTCAGAAAACTTTCTTGGAATACCTTTCTATATCCTTTTTAAAACCTCCTCCAATCCCAGAGAATATCCCCCTTTTTTGAGACAATATCTTCCCAAAAATCATCGTATAATTTAACCTAATTATCCGCATAATCCTGAGTAATACTTACTAATTTTCCGGGTATCCTTTTTCAGAGTACAAGCAGCGCTTTCCCACGTTCAGCTCTCCCCTGATGGAGCGCATGCGCAAACGTCGCGCCTTCGCCGATCCGGAACTGAACTACGCCATGGAGGCGACTCTGGGCGGCAACGCTTTGTTCGTGGCCGCCGCTGCTGCCGCTTCTGCCTCGGTTGCCGCTTCAGTGATGCACCAGGATCAGCCCATGTATCCGCCATCAATGCCGCCGCTCCAGCCGCCCGTGAACAGTTTCACGGCCCCGCCCACCAGCATCATCTCCTCCAGCTCCAGTCCTATGCCCTCGTTGCCCGCCAAGAAACCCAAGCTGAGCTTCTCCATTGAGGCCATCATGAGCATCAAGACGTAGCCTGAGAATAAGTCCTGTAATTCAAGGATATCTAAACATAAATCACTCTGTACATAGTCCTAGTTTATAAGGAACCTTTTTTTGTCTAGCCTTATAAGCTTCAAATGAAATAAAACAAAGAAAATAAAAATGAATTACAAAAATTAATTATAAAATGTGTGTTTTATTATTTAATTCTAAGACTTTTCTAATTAAGGAGAGATTAAGGAGGGAAATGAATAATAGCCATACCCAGTACTCATGAGAAGATAGAGGATACACTCTTATCAAAATATTAATAATATATATTCCAAGATAAATTATAAAGAAAAACGTATAAACCACCACTTTATACATATTTAAAATCTTTCCCCAACCTAAAAAAATAAGAGGCGTTATCTCTGCAATTTGCTACAATTTGTTAGGGATATATGGGCTCTAGTTTTGGTCATAATTTGATCTGGGTTTCACATTTTTTATGTTTGGATATATGATCCTCAGACCTCTCTCCAGGGTCCTGAGAGTCCAGACAGTCTGGCACCAGGATCGCCACTTATCGAGAAACCAGATGTTTCTGGTTCTATATCCTCAAGAATAAACATATTTGTGAATACGACTAAGTGTCTGGCTAAGAAATAGATGGCATAACATTTTACATATTTTCAGTATTATTATTAGATTCCTTTTTATAAGAAAACTTTGTAATTTTAATCATATTTATTCATACTGACACATATTCTTAAAATTATTTCTACACTTATTCTGGTCAGCTGACCCTTTTACACTCTTACAACTTTAATAGATGTAAACAAAACAGTGACATTTCTTTTAAATTAAATGGTAAGTTAGTGGCGATTATTTAAAAAAAAATATTCTACGAAATGGTGAAATGTTCTAGGAATCTTGAACTGGAGGATCGGACATTTAGACACAAAAACAAGGTAAAATGAACCATTTTATAATGACTTTCTTATATATTTTAACTTTTATAATATTTAAAAAGTATACACATTTAAAAATTTTAAAAATTTCATAATTTGCAAATTCCGTTACATTGCAAAAGCTTTGAACGCCTGATCTATCGGTCTATCGATCTATCGCTTTTAGTTGGACCAGTGACCAGGGCTGGCGATGTGATATTTTGAAAACTTAATCGCCGTTGCCCGCTGGTGCCTCTCTTTCGCCGCATCGTTTTTAGTATTTAGCGCTTTAATCGCCGAAACAACAACTGGGGTTGGACTGAGAAACAGCTGCTTTTTGTCTCCGGTGGCGATTCGATTCTTAGTCAGTTGTTTAATTGCGGCTAGCGGCCAAGGAAGCTTTGATTTTCGGATTTTCTGATTGGAACTCGCCCACACCACCCACCGGCCATCGCCACACTCGCACACACACACACACACAGCCTCGCACACTCAACATATTAGGCATATAAATGTATGTATACACGGGATGGTGCAGATAAGTTTATTAATAAGTTTACATATGTACGCAATATATGAGATTTTTTTTTTGTTATTAACAAAAACACATACCGTTAGATAATAGTGGCGCACACCTTCTTTTTTGTACCGCTATCTTGCAACCTTACCACCCCCCGACCCCACCCGACAAGGTGAGAGAATCAAAAAGTGCAGCGAAAAATCGATTGAGGCTGCTGCTCCGCTCTTGAACTACAAAAACAAGCAACAAAAACAAAAACAAGCAACAAAAACAAGAACAAGAAGAAGCTAAAAAAGCACACATTCTAATTGGGAAACGGAAACGGAGAGGGCGGCAGCAGTCTAGTTGGAACGCCGAGGCAGTGACAGTGAAAGTGATTTGTGTCCCAAAAAAGAAAAGAAATTAAATTAAATACGAGAACCAAGGTAGTACTGTTGTGATTTGTGTTTATCGTTTAGCGCGCCACTTCTTAATTCTTAATTGAATTGCGTGTCTATAAACAAAAACATAAAAAAAAAAAAATGTTGCTTCTCCATCGAGTTGTTTTCTTGTTTTTTTTTTTCTATTTTTTTTTTCTTAGAAGTGTGCGTGTGGCGCTAACAGCTGTTTAGCAAGCCAATTATCACCCCCCTTCCTGCCATTTTTATTTATTTATTTCGGTCTACGTGTCAATTAAGTTATAATACGCTGACGTTTGGTAATAATTTATTCACCCCCTGCCCCCTGCCACCCCCTCTCTCTTAGAATGGATTAAACAAAGTGCTATTTGCCAAGTTTTCAAGTTTCATTTAGTTATCCAGTCGTTATCGCAACTATCTTATCCGAGAATGGGGATATATGCATACCCTATATGTACATAAGTATGTGCCCACCCAAGGGGGCCTCGCTTATATAGTTGGGGGTCTATATTATAGTACGGGTAATGGGGCAAAGTGCAGGCAAATAGTCCAGAAATATTTCATTTTCGGAGGTGCGTTGCATAAGTCGCATTTTGTTGTCAAAACAAATCGCAAACAATGTGTCTGCAAAGCAAAAAAAAATTAAACCAAACAAATCGGTTCTACAGAGAGAGAAAAAGTGCAGGCAAATGACACTTAATTTGTATTATTTTCAATTTTAATTAATGATTTCATGAAGAAATAGTTCAAATACATTTTTGGGTAAAAAAACATGAAAGTAATTTAAAAAAAAACTATTTTTGGACCTTTCTGGCTTGTTCTATAATATAGTTTTATGTTTATCTAATCAACTGATTTTTAATATTATTAAATATATATTTTAACATCTCTTTTGAACCTTAGTTGTTTATTTATGAAAAAAATAGGTCTTTGTAGGAGAGAAACCCCTTTTTCAGACTTTATTATATTAAATGAGCTTTACAAAAAAAAGTAGGAATCAATATCTATAAAATAGGCATTTATTTTCAAGAAACCTAACCAGATTTTGATATAAGGCTTCGAATAAAATTGCATTTCAAAAAAACATAAACTTTCCAAGGCCTTAATAATATAATATATATTCTGTATCTTTCTTTAAATAACATACCATTGAAGGGGACCCCCCAGAAAATTTAACAACAAATCTAAGAAAAGAAAATTGTTTCTAGATTTTGATGCAGATTGATAAAGAATCGATCCACAATTCTTTTAAGGTATTCCAATGAAGAATCGGATGAATATTGGCAAAGATATGGAAGTGTGGTCCTTCGAAGTGGGTCATATTGGAATTTCCATGTATTTTCCAAATTTTGAAGGGGATTCATTTCTTATTCATTTCTTAATAATAATGTCCATTAATTAAGTTAATATTTTTAAGAAACCTAAACAGATAAATCAGGTTTCTTAAAAACCAAACTTTCCAAGGCAGAAAAGAGCTCAATATCTTAGTATCTCAATATCTGTATCTTCAACATGACTTATCCAGCAACCACTGTAGTGGATCCAAAAAAGTTTGGATTCCAATTGGAACTTGTATAATTCTTCCCTTAACTCACTATATATAACTCACTATATATAAAAAAAAAAATAGCAAACCGGTTTGAAAGAATCTTCATCGTTTCGACAAAAAAACGTGTTCAAGTTCAAGTGAATATTTAGATCGAGTACGGGTTTTTGGCTCTCTGCAAACAATATCAGTATTATATACAAGGCTATACACATATATACATCATATAGAATATATATAGATACACTCATGTTTATAGATGTCTTTTAATTTCTAAAAATTTGCCAAATGATGCTAAAAAGAAAGCAAACACTTTGCGGCTGATTGACGCTTCTGAGTGATCTGAGTTCCCCCCCAGAATACTATATAGTTGAGGTGTATGATTTCTTTGTTCGTTTTTTTGTACGTACATATTATTTATTGCATTACGCAATTACCGTTTCAAAGTGCAAAAAAAAAATAAATCTGAAAAATGGGGGCTGTCGAGAGACCCTGCTATAAATCTGTATCTCCAGAGTCTATGAAATATTTGTAAGCTCGGCCCGGGACGTCACTGATAAGCTAAAACGGCGATTCTAGCTCAAAGTCAAAAGTACGCTTCACAGATACGGGAAACGGCCAATGAATCTGCCGGAATTCAACAAAAATAAAGCCGTTAAACCGTATACTTGCTGATGCTTCAGTAAATACCCGAAAAAATAAGCCATAAAATGCTACCGAAAATATAAACTTCCATGGCGATAAGCCGCATGGTTTTAAGATTATACTTTCAGCTTCTTTTTGTTAAGTTTATTATTAATTAAATTAGATTATTAAACTGTAAGCTTGTGGGTTCTAATTTCGCTGCACTTTTGAATTGCCCGCCCGGATGCAGCTGTGTGGTGGTTCGTGTCCAGGCTTTAAGTGCATTCGCCGCATCAGCTGCTTCCTCTTCTCCGGTAGCGCGGCAAATCAAACAAGTCGTATACAATGGGCTTGTCAGTGTTTATTCGATTGGTTTATGTAACTATACGGCCCATAAATATTTAATCAACCCACACGAATATCTATTGATAAGTTTCTTATATTTCTTAATATTTTTTTTTATGTATATTCACTGATAAAGCCGGTCTGCAATTCGCCGCTCTTAGAATACCAAAGACCTACTCTTATACCCCCAAACCCACCCACTTTTTAGAAGAGTTTTTGCTTGCCACCCTGGCTTACTGGTTCTACTTCTTTCATTTACGCAGCTGCCATTCCCGGTTTGGTTTAATTTCTAAAAGCTTTATTTTTCTTTGATATTTTATTTGCAGAAACATGAGTCGCCTGCTAATTAAGCCAGCAACTGCCACAGTGTCTGCCACATTGCAGCAACAACAGCACCAGCTGAGGCAACAACAACTCGTAATTCGCCGCTGGAGAGCGTTCCTGCACAACAACAACAACCCCAACAATGCTGCGGCGATTGCGGCGAAAACGACGCGCCAGCAGCGCATTCAAACAGCACTGTTGGCGGCGAATAGCAGCCATTCACCGTTAGACGCCCGTCGGTATGTGAAGTCACTAGTCCCAGGCCATGGAGAGTGAGAGGTCTATTTTTCAATTAAAATAATTAAAAACACAAGTTTTTAATTGAAAAAATTAGCTCTGCTTATTTTTAATGCCATATGGCAACCCTAGGCTGCCTGCCCGCCTCTCACTCTCCCGCTCTCTCTCTCTACGGCTCTCTATCGGGGTCGAGGAATAAAAGTAAATAAAAGTGCCAACCGAAGCTTCCCACATTCCAGATCAATCGCCACCAGCCCCAAGATGCCGTCGAACGATAAATCCCTCAACCTGGACAACATCAACCCGAACTTCATCGCCATGGAGTACGCGGTCCGTGGTCCGCTCGTCATTCGTGCCGGCGAGATCGAAAAGGAGTTGGAAAAGGTGAGTTCTTCAGAAAGTGTTCCATGAAACGCGACGCCATTAGCGCGGTCCCCGTTCCCCCCCCTTTTTTTCTTTGGATAAACCCAATTTAGTGGCATTGGCACGCCATATCCGTCCGTCCCCAGTGCCGTGCTTTGCCGCCCTTTTATTCACGCTCCGTTCATGCCGGCGGGAACTCTGCCTCGAATCATTCACCTCGTTATCCTTTCCAGCTGCTTCCTCTTCTAGACCCCACCCACTGGGTCGCCTGGGGAGACACCTGTTAAGGCCGTGACATGAAATGGTAAACGCGAAAAGCCATAAAATGTACAAAAGATATGCTCACGGAGAATGGAAAAAAACGAGCAAAACAAAAACAGCTTTTATTTTTGTTATTATTATCATCATAATATAGTATTATCATCATAATAGTATGTTTTTTTTATTTAAAACTTGAGTAAAATAATATACAGTAGATTTATTATCAGCTGATCCCAAAATAAATGTTTGTTTTTAATTCACAAAGTCTTAAAACAAGGAATATAAATCTCATTGTTTGCTTGTGACTTTAACGGGCCATAAAAATAAATAAATATATTTTTTAATTAAAAGTTTCATATCCCATTGTATAAAAACCTTTTAAAAATACCTCAAAATTTGCTATCAAAAGTAATTGAAAAACTTTCAGATATCCCTAGTAGTGCCCATTATAATTATAGCTTCATAAAATTATTGAAACTTATCTGAAACGTAATGTATATATATTTATTAGTGAGGCGGTTGAACTTTGAAAAGGAAAAGTAAACAAGGCAATAATTAAATTAGAGCCGCCTAGCAGCATAAATGATATACGCCCGGCGAGCTCGCCCAGTCCAGACGCTCATCTTGGAAGCTAAGCTGGCTTTTATTTCCATTTTTTCCATAACGAGTCGTGGATTTAATTACTAATGAATGACTGAGGCATAGAACTATTCTAATTGTTGAAAATTGCGTTGCTGGAACTTTAATTAAAGCGAAAGAATATTCAAGTTCACTGAACGACCTTCAACCGAAAAAGTAAACACTTACATAAGTGAGGAAATGTGGGTGGTGTGTGTAGGTGGTATGCTGTGGGCATCCTGTTATCAGTGAGGAAAAGTGAAAACCCCAAACAAAGACCCAACATGCGCATGAGCTCTGCTCTGCCGAATAAGAGGTACACAAGTTTTTCTGGATTTTTCCCGATTTTTACAAGAATTTTATTGTTGAACTTTAGTGAACCCCCCCTTGTCTTATGATTCCACTGACTTTTCACATTCTGTGTCCCCCCCTGTTGCGATTGATTTCCTTATTCTCATCCTCCATAGAAGCTCTCGGGCTTTTGTTCCTCCATCATCTGCGTTTTATCAAATTCCACCAAGCTGCTGGCACTCTTCCAAAATCCATTCCGGGGCACCATCTGACAGCACCAGACATTCTTATCAGGCGGCACTAATGCATTTCTGATTTCTATTCGCTATTTGTGCCTCCAAATACAATTCCCAATACGATTATACGACCTTACCTGTATACTTTAATAACCTGCTATGTGGTATAGGGTATATATACTATATAGTTATCAGTTATAGCACCCACTTGGCACAATAAGTTTATTTACAGGGGCCTTAAGTGCAAATTGATTGAGAGAGGAGCGAAAAAAACAACATGTTTAGAGGAAAGTCTAACAAATAATACACTGATAATCAGGAAATTGGTAGCATGGGGTCTATAAGAAATATAAAGGGGCTTAAAGATTCTATTAGAATATTAAATGGGTTTGGGTTTCAAATGGAGACTTCTTTTGAGGAAATTTTGATAATAGTTAATAAAAAATAATATAGTGGTAATCAGGAAATTAGTACCATTGGCTTCATAGGAAATTGGTGTTTAGGCGTTCTATTAGATAATTCAGGATTCTAGGTTTAAGAAAAGATACCTTTTATTTGCAATTTTTGTAATGTTTGAAAGATAGCTTTAAGAAAGAAAAGTTTCAAAGAAATTATACACTAATAATCAGAAATAGGAACTTAAGGGTTCTGAGGTTTTACGAAACCATAATAGTTCTAGGACTTTTGAAGGAATTTTTCAAATAGTGTTAAGATAAAGTATCTTTTTTAACCAAATAAAATAAATTTATCTAAAAAACCATCAAAACCCCCTCCAATAAACCTTATAGATGGTCTTTTCCGGGCATTAATTCACTCCCTAGAGAGCTATACCTGTCTTGTACTTCTCTGAGCACTACAGACCCATAATATAATGTCTGTAATTGTAGGTGCCACCCCATTGACTTGGCAACACACCTTATCGGGCTATATTTTCGAAATTGAAATGAAAAATAATTAAGCAGGTGCGATAAGGCGGGGTGGCGGCAGAACAATCGTTCTCCGAACACGTTCCCACTATGGACACTACTGTATGTATGTTTTTTTTTTGCGAAAAGATCATTCCACATATTATCACAAATTCAGAAGTACACTTATAACCGTGATGAGCTGCGAATTCCCTAATTTTCCAATATTCGCAATGACATGCACCCGATGCCCATACCGGAGCGTGACGTCAATGGAGCTCGCTTACATGGCGCAATTTCCATTATTTAGCCACAAAGCTACACAAACACCACGCCGCCTGCCTCCACCCACCAGACCAGCCCAGCCCAGCCCAGCCCCTCCGTGGCATTATGTGGTAAATTGCCCACTCGAGCATGGTGAAAAGTGGAACCCGAGTCGGGGATCTGTAAATGAATGCATCACGGCCCGCATGTGCCCTGAAAATTGCCCTGTGTGTTATATTGTTGACATAATGCAGGGAAAATTACTCTTTGGGGGTATATAGATGGGTGTAATGAACCCTATTTAATACATATATGGGGGTGTACGAACGTTGAAAGTCTAAATTGTGAATGAATTAAAGAGACTATAAATGGATTTAACAAAACATTAAAGAGGTACTACGAGCTATAATCGAGATATCAACCTTAAAGCCAATGGGAAATCCTATAATTTATCCAAACTTTATGTCTAATAGATCTCTGTAGTGTTAGAAACCCCGTTCACCATATATAATATATCTTAAATATCGAAACTATTCAGTTCTAGAACAAAATATGGCCTGGATTGTGCTTACTTTTATAATCCATCCATACAAACCACTCATAATCTATTACATTGTCAGCGATCTACAAAATATGAATCATTTTAAAAAGTAATGAATAGAGTGGTATGGAATCTCTATATATAATATCTCTCTTACGTCTTAGAAGTCATATCTATCTTAAATAATTTATTAAAGCCCTTCAGTTTTAGAACAAAATATAGACTGGTAAGAGATCTAAACATAATAGGGTTTTTTTTTAATATAATGACTCATAGAACCATTTTAAACCATATATTTATCCATTACATATACCCCAGAAGCCTGTCTACCTTAAATGATATATTAAAAGTGTCCAGTTTTAGTAAAAACTATAACCTAAATAAAATTTTTTCTCAATAAACCATTCTGTGGTTAGAAACCTAAGGAAGTTTAAATATTCCTTTTAAGAACTGACTCATAAGGTCCTTAAGATCCTTAAGATAACTCATTCTATTAAATAACAGCTCTCTAATTCCCCACAAAAACCCATATATGTAAAAAATCAAATTATAATTGCCATGATCTAGCACAAACTATAGACTGAATAATAGTATATGTATCTTTAATAATCCTATAGACCCTCAGAGGTCTAAACAAAATATACATAGCTTTTTTAGGTAATGATTCATAGAACCATTTCAAACTGTACATTTATAAGATAACCCATTCTATATACTAATACCTCCCTAATCACCAAAAAGCCCTTCCACCTTTAATAATACATTAAAACTGCCCCTTGAACTAAAACTAGTACAACCCCCAATCCCCTAAATATTCCATAAATAATCGAATCCATACCCCAGCCAGGTAGTTGTCCCCAATTATAGGTCTGTGCTAATTTCAATTTGGAACCACTTGAGTTTAATTTGCATAGTGAAAGCCCTGAATTAAAAGCTCATTTGATATGCCACCTGCCCCCCCTCACCCTCACCCCCTGTAGGCCACTCACCCCAGCCCTGTCCATCATAATTGAGTGTTTTGGGTAAACAGACCGTAATTTAATTTCCGATTCGATTGATTTTGATTGCAGGGCGCCAAGAAACCATTCGACCAGGTGATCCGTGCCAACATCGGTGACTGCCATGCCATGGGCCAGCAGCCCCTGACCTTCCTCCGCCAGGTGAGTCACCAATCCCATCATCTAGTCTCTTGTTTAAACTAATATTCTAATCTTATCATAGCTATTGGCTCTTACCTTTGAGACGCGGCTGCTGGACTCGCCCGAGTATCCCGATGATGTGAAGAAGCGCGCCTGTGCCATCCTGGAGGGCTGCCAGGGCAAGTCGGTGGGCTCCTACACGGATTCCGCTGGTCTGGAAGTGGTCCGTCGCCAGGTGGCCGCCTTCATTGAGAAGCGTGATGGTGGCATTCCCTCCGATTGGCAGAACATCTATCTGACGGCCGGTGCCTCGCCTGGAATCAAGACCATCCTCGCTTTGGTCAAGTAGGTTCTGGGTTTCGGGACTATATATGAGATAAGAGGGGATATACCTGGTACTTTTGGGGTTGGGTTTGTTGTTTAATGGTGGCTTTATCTTCATAAGACTTCATATGTTACTTCATAAGACTCTTAAAATAGAGGAACTGGAAAGAGTACTTCTGGAGATTATAAATCTTCCTCTAGAGGTATTATCTTTTGGAAAAGGAGTACCCAAACCTGGTACTCTTAAGAGGAACTAGTCTAGTTTGGACTTCTTTTTAAACAAAGATATCTTAATCTTTATAAGACATATTCTCATAAAAGATAAGAAACATCAAGAGAACTTCTGGAAGATTGTAAACCTAAAGCCTTAAATTACTTAAATAGTGGTATACCCCTTTTATTTTGGGAATATAAAGCTTCAAAATTAAAAAAATCATATACATATCCTCCCCTAACCAAAGACATCCTTCCTTTGCAGCTCTGAAATCGGTGGCAAGACCCCCGGCGTAATGGTTCCCATTCCCCAGTACCCTCTCTACTCTGCCACCATCTCCGAATACGGCATGGCCAAGGTGGACTACTACCTGGAGGAGGAGACCGGCTGGAGTCTGGGCCGCAAGGAGCTGCAACGGTCATACGACGATGCCAAGAAGACCTGCAATCCCCGTGCCCTGGTGGTGATCAATCCGGGCAACCCCACCGGCCAGGTGCTGACCCGCGAGAACGTCGAGGAGATCATCAAGTTCGCGTACGACAACAAGGTGCTGCTGCTGGCCGATGAGGTGTACCAGGACAATGTCTACGACAAGAACTCCCAGTTCTGGTCCTTCAAGAAGGTGGCCTACGAGATGGGCGAGCCCTACCGCAGCCAGGAGCTGGTCAGCTTCTCGTCCACGTCGAAGGGCTTCCTCGGCGAGTGCGGCATTCGCGGCGGCTACATGGAGGTGCTCAACCTGGATCCCAAGGTCAAGGCCATGCTCACCAAGTCGATAACCGCGGCGCTCTGCAGCACCACGGCCGGCCAGGTGGCGGTCAGTGCTCTGGTGAATCCCCCACAGCCCGGCGAGCCCTCCTACGATCTGTACAAGAAGGAGCGTGACGGTGTGCTGGCGGCTCTGAAGGAACGCGCCACTCTGGTCCACAAGACCCTGAGCAGCTTCGAGGGCTACAAGGTGAACCCCGTGCAGGGTGCCATGTATGTCTTCCCCCAGATCGAGATCCCGCCCAAGGCGGTCGAGGCCGCCAAGGCCAAGGGCATGGCCCCCGACGCCTTCTACGCATTTGAGCTGCTCGAGACGAGCGGTAAGTCCTAGACTTCATCCTCTCCTGCTTCCAAACTAATCATATCTTCATACCTTTAGGAATCTGCATTGTTCCTGGCAGTGGATTTGGACAGAAGCCTGGTACTTACCATTTCCGCAGCACCATCCTCCCGCAGACGGACAAGCTGAAGCTGATGATGGAGAAGTTCCGGGTGTTCCATGCCGAGTTCATGAAGAAGTACAAGTAGACGACCCGATCCTTCGTCGGCTGGCCAATCCCTGCGCCAAGTCCTATCCCCTTCCATTTTCCGGCCGCCTGCCTGTGTTAAAAGTGTCTGATCCTCCGGCTAAGGATTGCATAAGTGTTTTTTTTTTCTCTCTCTCTCTTTGTACTGATACACACTATACTCCAGCTTAATTATTTTTTTTTTTTAACTCTCCTCTAGTATATCTAGTATCATATATCAAATATATGTCTGAATTTTAAGTTTGATTTGATCCTTAATGGTCCTTGGTCCTGCGCAGGTTTTAGCTCTATGTGCGTCACGTTTTCCAGTTTCCAGTTAGCTATTTAACCAACATGTTGAATTTTTATGATATATGTATGTATACCCAGTATGTGTAGTCCTTGATCCGTATCGGCGACGATTGCAAGGAGAGGTGACAATAATTTTTGTTAGAGCCGATAGTGATTTTTGTTACTTGTTGGCCGCGCAAATATCGCTGTTCTAGACGAAAGTTATGTACTATGTATTTGCTTATGTACGTTTACATATTTATCCAAAAAACACACACACTCACTCACACACATATATATGCATATATATGCTTATCCCCGATCCGATCACGAGTCGTATATGTGTTCTTGCAAGTCATTAATAATTGTTATAAAAAAAAACCAAAAAAAAAAAAACAAAGCTAAATATATATAAATTTTATTGTTAAATGTGGCTTTTCTTTGGGAGGAAGTGGGCGGTTATGTGCTTTATTACTCTTTGCTTAAGGGGTTTTATACATACAGTTGTACCGCGCAAAATAATGAAATTTTATCAATTTTTTTTGACACCATAGAAAATATTTTTTAAAAATGTTTACTGACATTGTTTAGTACATGTTTCTGGGTACTTAATTACATTTTTTCATAAAAAAATATTAAATAATAAAAATGTTATAGCCGTATTCCAAGATCGTCTTTTTTCGATGGTGTCTTGCGGTGGACATCATATCCCGAGAAGTATTTTTATTGGAGTATTATTAGCTATATATACTCAAAGACCTCGAAGTTTTGGTCAGTACTATCACTAACCATACAGCATATAGACAACCCATTTCATACAACGAAAATGGACGCGAAAATTTCTTGCGACAGGCCCCAGCAGGCCCCAGAGCGGATTTCTTACGCTCTCTTACGCTCATCGTTCGTTCATCTTACGCTCATTCTCGCAATAAATGTTTTCTGTTTCTCAGTCTCTAAACGGAGCGCGATGAAGAAGGTTGGCCTGCGCTTCGGTTGATCTTTGTATGTATGCGTGTCACACATTCACATACATGGGTGTATGTGTGCGTGCGATTTCGTTTCGAAGCCAGCGCACAAAATTTTGATTTTTCTTACTTTTAAGGCTTGCTACCCTAACAAAATTCGGGTATTCGTTATTTGATGAAATGACGAAAGAAATTATATTATTTTTATTTTATTTTTTTTATTATTTCAGCATACATTTTTAATTTATTTAGGAATAAGATTAAGTGTTAGTAGTAAAATGTTTTCTGTATATATATTTTTACGAATCATTAAAAATCAATATACTGAGAAAGTGTCAGAGTATATTTCGGTCGGAGTCACTTAAAGCGCCGATTGCTTTTAAGTTTTTGTTGTTCTGCAAGAGGCTTGTGCATGCCTACTCTAACGATGGAATGATTTTTAGGGGAGGGTGAAGACACGAAAACAGCTGATGGACTTGTTTACCTTTTTGTTTACAATTTTTCAGGCACTTGTTATTATATTTTGGGTTATTGTGAGATTTAATTAAATTATTGTCGTTAATTTAATAATTTCCTTATATATATTTCCTTATATATAATAACTTTAAAAAGTAATTTAATTCTTCACCCGTCTTCACCCTCCCCTAAAAATCATTCCATCGTTAGAGTAGGCATGCACAAGCCTCTTGCAGAACAACAAAAACTTAAAAGCAAACGGCGCTTTAAGTGACTCCGACCGAAATATACTCTGACACTTTCTCAGTATATTGATTTTTAATGATTCGTAAAAATATATATACAGAAAACATTTTACTACTAACACTTAATCTTATTCCTAAATAAATTAAAAATGTATGCTGAAATAATAAAAAAATAATATAATTTCTTTCGTCATTTCATCAAATAACGAATACCCGAATTTTGTTAGGGTAGCAAGCCTTAAAAGTAAGAAAAATCAAAATTTTGTGCGCTGGCTTCGAAACGAAATCGCACGCACACATACACCCATGTATGTGAATGTGTGACACGCATACATACAAAGATCAACCGAAGCGCAGGCCAACCTTCTTCATCGCGCTCCGTTTAGAGACTGAGAAACAGAAAACATTTAATGCGAGAATGAGCGTAAGATGAACGAACGATGAGCGTAAGAGAGCGTAAGAAATCCGCTCTGGGGCCTGCTGGGGCCTGTAGCAAGAAATTTTCGCGTCCATTTTCGTTGTATGAAATGGGTTGTCTATATGCTGTATGGTTAGTGGTACTATATAGTACATCATATATACTCAAAGATCTTGAAGTTTCAGAAGCGTTATTCTTTAAATCTATCCTTTATATAATTAGTTTATAAGACCGTAGTATCTGCAGTTCTATATTAAATGTCTCATAATAGACATAATTATGAACTGATTTATTTTATACCACTAGTAATGGTTATAAATATTAAATAATTAGGAGTATTACCTTTCAAGTAATATCAGTTATATGACTATTGAAAGGAGTACAACCTCACGATCATGAAGTACAACCCAAAATATGGATATCTTTTTTTAAAAGCTTCTATAGGGCTATCTAAAATGTTTTGAAAAGATATAATCCTTAAATAATTTATATATATATAGTTCTTTCTATCTGTTTCGTGAATTTTCTATCTGTTTCAATAGTATCGGGTATAAATATAGGAGTATTATCTATTATATACCCATACTCAAAGATATTGAATTAATAGGTTAAAAATATATAGACGTTGGAAGTATTATTGTTATGGGTATGTACTTCACCCTTTATAAAACATTTTGTTAAGTTTCTTGTTTAGATAGTATCTAAAATTTCTTATAATAGATATAATTATAGACTCATTTATATAGATATTAGCAAAGACTAAGATCATGGATAAAAGTAGAAACCAAAATTAGTTTAAGACTAATTTTACAGCATCTCCCATGTGAGTTTTCCTGAAGTTTAGTGATCTAGTTTAGATCATATACACTGCTATGATCTGGGGTCTTCCATATATATTACATATTTGACATATTTCTTTGTTTAAAATTTAAAACCCTGTTTAGAAACTGGTATTGTATATAAGTGGATGTCTTTAAAAGGAATACCGATTGATATACAGTCCAGAACTAAAAGATCTGTCTAGTTTTAACATCCAAATACCTACCTTTAGAAAGATCTATAGATGAATCAAAGATAACTAGAAAAATTCTGACTTATAATCAGGTTTTCTAGAGGTAATGTCTCTCCAGATGTGTTTTCCAATATATTATTAAAAAAACTATAATATAACCATTATAGTCATTTCCAAGATCCCATCTTTACAGAGATTCCTCTTCAAGTCCTTTTAAAATAGAGTTCCATTACCATCTACCAACACGAAAGAATTTAAAGCCATTTAATATTTTTTTTTGTTCAATTTAAATTATGTTCAATTTATTGATTCTCATTTCACGACTTAATTACTTGCACTTCCGTTAATTTAATATAGAAATCTTACGTTTTCTGTCAATCCAGTATTGCCGATCCAGCAATCGACAATCGTGGAGGAACCAAAAACACAATTCATATATATGTATGTATATATAAAAAAAAAACGAACCGAAAAAGGAATACACGTCCGTGGATATTTTAATAGAAGTTACCTTCGGTCATTTCTTAAACATGCTGCTGTGGATTATCTCTTGTCCGGATGATGTATCTCTCATTTAGCTTTTTTGTTTTGTGAATTAAAATCTACCAAAGTCTTAAAGCCTAAACACCAATATGTACCGTACTGTCACAGTAATGTGGCTATATACTTGCTATCCAGATCCAGATCGGAGATGGCTGCTTGTTGGCTGGAGTTGGTTGGTGGTTTTTGAGAGTGTTCTGGTTTGGGATTGATATTATGCTTGGATCTCAAATCAAGGTATCAGAATCACTGCGATTGGCCACAATGCTGGGTCAGTAGGGGGTCAGTGATGGGTGTTGGGTGTGTGTGTGTGTGGGGGTTTTCTGTATATATATATAGTTCTATATATACATATATATATAATCTATATAGATAGGTGTGTCTGTTTGTGTGTGTTTAGTAGTAGTAGTCCGGATCGGGCTGCAATCCTATCCTGCTCCAGCTCCTCCTGCTTATCATCATCCCACCTCCACAATCGTCTATCTAGTGGCGATCCCTCGAGTCGGAACGGCTGCGACGATCCCTTGAGAAGCTTCGGCTGCGTGTCCTGGAGCGTCGTGGTGATCGGGACCTAGAATGAGATGGGTGGGTGGTGGTGGTGGTTGTGGTTGTGGTGGAGGCGATGGAGGAAATAAAATCGCAGGTCACACACACAGACAGCACAAGGAGATGAAATCAAAAGAGAAAGGAGAGAGAGAAAGAAAGAAAGAGAAAGAGAGAGAGAGAAGAGAAAAAATACACATTAAATAGATTTTTTAAGACTTAGCTTAGCTAGGCGCGATGTAAAGTAGTAGTAGTAGTGGTAGTAGTAGTAACAATTCCTTAAGATACGCAAAGTTGTGGAGATCTAGATTCTCGATATAGATCTCGATATCGATTTCGATTCGAACAAGACCCAATTGGACTTGAACTTGACATTAGTTGGATTGATGGATAAATCTGACGGATCTGTTGGATCGGATACGGATCAGAGCTGATTTAGAGCTGAGGTCTGAGCTGAGCTGATCTGAGCGGAGCGGAGCTTAGAGCAGAGAGCTATATAGGTGGCTGAAGGTGCTTGAAGGTGGTGAAGATTTTTAGCTGATAGCTTGCTTATGCTTTTTTTGATAATTTTTTTTGGCCCCATTTTTACGAAAGCGTTGGTGTGACATTTTACATAAAGTAGTTGGTGGTGGTTGGTTGGTTGGTGGTGGTTGGTTGATTGGTAGGCTGATATATTGGTTGGTTGACTGGTTGGTTGGTTGGTTGGTTGGTTGCTTAGTTGGTTTTTGGTTGATGAGCAGAGCAGACTGAGAAGACTGTTGGTAGTACTAGTAGCAGTTGTAGTAGTAGTAGTTGTAATAGTAGTAACAGTAGTAGTAGTAATAGTAGGTTCTTGTTGAGTTTTGGAACGAGATACAATTCTGATCTGATCTGAACTGAGCTGAGCTGACTGTGGACTAGACTGTGGTGGTTTCTGTGGCTGTGGCTGTGGTTGGTTGGTGTGTGTTGGTTGATTGGTTGGTTTGTTGGTGATTTAGTTCTACTCTTAGTTCCCCAAATTCTTGCAGCAGCTGCTAGTTGGCTAGTTGTGTAGTTGCAGGATGAAGAAGCTGTTGTGGTGGGGTGTTTTTAGCAGAAGCATCAATTAGCAGACGCGATGTGAAGAGATGGAGCACCCTTGATGGAGAAGCTTAGAGCTGGGGATGAACTGAAGGTTGTTGTAGGACTGAAGACTGAAGAGTGGGTGGCCCTGGCTCCTGGTATGTTTGCCTGTTTGCTGAACAGATCGAGTCAAAGCACACACACGCACATATATATACAACATATATAGAGTATATAAAGGTCAGACAGTTAGCTTGAACAACATTATCTCGGTAGATGTTAAAAAAAATAATAAAAACACATTAGCAGAAACCATAAATATTAAAATTAAGAAACAAGAGTTGTGGTTAGAGACTCGGTCCGCCTTTGTTGGCCTTGTCTTGCCCATTTGGCCAAAACAAGGAGAAGAATGAGGCGGCAAAGGATTCATACTTGCTGCGCTTGAACTTGAAGGGATTAGCGTGAAGCAGCCTCGATCTTGATAGCATTTGGGGAAGGGTACTTGGCAAGAAATCAGGGGGATTCTACGATGTTTCTTTCTGGTTCTGGTTCTGGTTCTGCTGTTTGTTGTTGAAGTAGCAGTAGAAGTAGCAGTAGCCTTAGCCTGTTGTTGAAGTTGTTGCTGTCGCTGATGCTGTTGCTGAACTAGCGATGACAGATGATGAGGTGGTTGGTTGGTTGGTTGGTTGTTGGATGTGGTTGTGGTGGTACTGTTGGGTGGTTGGGCTGTTTTGTTGGGGACACGGAACAAGTTGGTAAGTTGGTGGTGGTGGTGGTGGTGGACGGAAGAAGACCAAACTGAAGTGGAACCTGGCCTGGAGTCGTTGAAAGTTGCAAGATTGGCTGACTGAAGATATATACATAGAAATGTACAACTATGATGGGTTGGCTGGCCGCTATGGAGTTACTGTTGCTATTTGCCGCTGATGCGATGCCGTGGTCGCTCTGTTGTTCGTGGTGATGGGTGGTGGTGTTGTTAATGGAAGAAGAGTGTTGGTGTGGCTTGTGGGAAGACAAAGACAATGGGCACTGGCACGATGCGATGGCCAAGCTCAACTAAAAGACGCCATCAGAAGACCGTGAATGAAAAAAAAATGCTTTAATGAGTGTATGTGTAGAGTGTATGCTGAGTGGGTGGTGCTGTGGCTGGTTTTTTTTTGAATCTTTTGTGGAGCTGCAGCTGGAGAGACGTTGCTGGAGATGATGCTGACTGAATTTCGGCCTGAGATTCATGCTGAATTACTGAAGGGGGTGTAGAGTGTTGCGGTTGCAGTTTGCAGTTTGCAGTTTGCAGTAGCGGTAGCAGTGGCAGTAGCAGTTGCAGTGGCAGTTAAAGTTGCGGTCAGTTGGAAATCGTCAACGGAATATATCGAATTTGTTGAATTTCAATTCGGCAATGGCAATGGTGGCAATTATCATACGAATGCCGCACAACAAGTCTCGTCCTCTGCAGTGAATTGCTGCAGTGGCAGTGGCTACTACTATATCTTGTTGAATTCGGTTTTGTTTTTGTGGTGTTGGTTGTGATATTGATATTGGTTGTGGTTGTGGTTGTGGTGTTGGAGTTGGTGGTGAAATGTGTGTAATAGGAGGAGAAATTCTTGTTCTTGTAGTAGTAGTAGTAGTAGTAGCTCTTGTTGAAGGAAGAGGAGTAGTAGAAGTTCTAGTAGTAGTAGCTGTTGGAGTTGTTCTTTTAACTGTTGTAGTTGTTGTTGTTCTTTTAATTAGATTTGGAGATGTTGTTGTTGTTGTGCTTGTAGTAGTAGTAGAAGAAGAAGACTTTGTCCTGCAAAATGATTGTGAGACCACATTAAAAGTTGGCTCCAAGCGTTCGAAAATTCGTTTTGCAAGATTTTTGCAACTAAAAACACAACAAAACTATTATTCTCTGGCATCTATTTATCTATCAATCTATCTATCTAGCCATCTATTATAGCCATTCATTAATTTCTTATTTCTTTTAAATTAAATTCAACTTTGAACTCTAGGGTTCCGTGCGGAATGGGCATGAGAAAGCAAAAGTGATTTAAATCGATCGATACGTATCAAAATCGAATTCAAGCCTAGCACCTGCGCATCGGACAACTATATATACTCTATATATACTTATTGTATATTGAATTGGATGGCCCCCTTCCTCCCCCCCCTGGCCTTTCGCAATTCATCCCGCGTATCCGCGTATCCCTCAACCCCTGTCACTGTCACTGTCGTGTGTGTATACGCGAATCGATTTTTCACATGCATACATACACGACTATACACGACTGGCGACAGATCAAATATTTTCTGCACATATGCACATCTGCATGCAGCGCATAGGCGTCGTATATGGCGCGCAATTATGTTTCATAACCATAAGAGCCCCCCGCTTGGGAGGGGGCGCACAGGGAACAGGGGACAGTTTTTCCACTTACCTATAGCGTCCGCCGCCGTCGCCAGCGCGGGCACCGCCGCCTCCGCTACCGCTGCGTCCACCACGGCGCGGTCCGCCGCCACCACCGCCGCCGCCTCCACCGCCACCGCCGCGGCCCTCCCGAGACCTGCCCGAAGACATCTCGACGCGGATGCGAGTGCCACAGCAGCGGGTACCGTCCAGGCCGCGAGTTGCGTCTTCAGCGTCGCGTCGGTCCTCGAACTCAACAAAGGCGAATCCCGGCGGGTTGCGGGCCACCCAGACGTTGCGCAAGGGGCCGTACTTGCTGAATGCGTTCTCAATCTCGTATTTGGAGGCCGAGGAGCCCAGGTTGCCTACGTAGACCTTGCAGGCCAAATCCCACTCCCTGTAGCGTGGCATCTTGTACTGAGTTATGTATATCCTCCTGGTGCGCTTTCCTTTTTGGCTATCCTGGTGTGCGGCTGGTGCAGTCCTTCGTCTCACAGGTCTGGGATACTGGATGGCTTTTTCAGTTTTTTTCCAACTGCTTGATTCCTAGTTTATCTCGAAATCTTAGCGAATAATGCAGGCACACCCACGCCAGGAAAATTTTACTTGTGAAAATTTATCGATATCAAAGATGGCTGCCTAAAGGGTTGCAAAGTGTAACCAGTGCTGTAAGTAACCAATATATATCGGCAAATAAAACAGTGTTGTTTAACGATAGTTAACATTTAAAATTAACAATGTTAGTTTTTAATTTTAAAATTTAAATTCATAAACATTTTTAGATGTAAGGAAGCAAGATATTCTAAATAATTTATAATAATCGGGAGAAAATTATTATTCTCTTTCTCTTCAGCATTTATGAAATTTGGCATGGTCATAATATAACCAGAGAGTAGGCCTTAAAAATAATTTCGATACTTAAGAACGATTAATTTTCATTTTTCAAATTGATCAAGACATTTATATAGCAAGAAAGTATGTATATATTATAAATTTACAATTTTATATCTCGTCATCGCCTGGAAAGTGTCATACCTAACAGACACTATCGCACAGCTGTCTGACCTGCTATTATTTAATATAGGTCTGCCCTGGCACATTAGTTTCGACTTTGGAAATTGGAAACTTGAATCAAAGATAGTAGTACACAATGGCGAAAACCCCGGAAACTATTGCGCTGGAACAGCTGGACAAGGACCAGATGAAAACGGTAAGTAGACCGGCTTTCATCGCCAGAAAACTGCTCCCAAGTGGTGGCCAAGTGATGCAATGTCGTGGTTCTAAGATGTTCTGTCCACAAATCTGACTGTTAACCGCCTGGGCCTCGTGCAGTTTTCAGATTTTTTGATGTCATACAACAAGCTGTCCGAGATGTGCTTCACAGACTGCGTACGCGACTTCACATCCCGAGATGTCAAAGATTCCGAGGTAAGTGGTTGGCGCCATGCGGTTTAGGAGCATACCAACGCCAAATGGGAATCTCTCTTGCAGGAAAAGTGCTCGCTCAACTGCATGGAGAAGTACCTGAAGATGAATCAACGTGTGTCGCAGCGCTTCCAGGAGTTCCAGGTTATCGCCAACGAAAACGCCCTGGCCATGGCCCAAAAGACTGGGAAGCTGTAGTACTTTACATATGTTACAACTAGTTTAGATCCTGGCGATAATGCATTTCTGTTGCATTTGATTTGTCAAAATAGCTGAGTAAAGGACGAGACGATGGTAGCGGTTCGACCCGGAATTACTATTCGATTATTGTGGTACTTTATTGCTGATTGATTGGTGATTGATTACGGTCTAGAGATCTTGTTTGAAAAAGACACAATTGTGATCAGTTGTGATGGGCAACTGGAACAGGACCTTATCCTCATCGTTTCTAGCAGTTCAGCCTCATGAGAGTTTATGTTAGAATCGTGCGCCGCAGCTGCTTATGTGCTAGGTATGCCTACAACTACGTTAAGTAACGTTAACGTTAAGACAAGACCGTCGAATCCGAACTCGGATACGGATACGGGTCCGGGTCAGGGGCCGGTAACGAACACCAGATCGGTAACGAGCACGGCGATCTCTAAACTAGGTTAATGCATAGCAGCCATCCACAGTGGCTTGCTACTCAATACTTAGGGCTACACACGGTTTGCCAATGCGTGGTTCTTCTCTGGATCTCGGGTTGTCCGCTTCGTCCATGTTTCGTTCAATGACTTGTGCTGGGGGCTTCGGAGGGAAAGCCCTCAGCCTCGGTAATGAGGGCGTACTCCAAGATAACTCGGCCCTCTTTGTATCTGAAACAAAAGATAATAGTTTAAATTAGGAAATTAGGGATTTACGTAAAGTATATCTTGTAATTGCAACGTTTGTTATCTATGATTCATAGTGACAAAGAAAGAGACAAGAAAGGAAAGAAAACTTCGGCTACAGAAGTCTCAGGCCAGCGGAACAACATTCAATTCCACAAATTAGGAAATTTGTAACTTCCGTTCCATGAAGACCTCAAAATTGGGGCAACAACAGTGACCTATATCTTTAAAATAGACATTCATGGCTTTCAATCCAAGTCTCTACACTATTTTTAGGGATCACCACTATTATCATAGTCCAAATAGATTACTACGCACTTCTGCGACTCCTCGGTGGCGAACTCGTACATCCAGCCCAGCTTGGCACCACAGTTTTTGCACATAACGTCGCGGACCATGTGACGGCCGGTGAGCATCACTCGTTCTTGGATGTTGCTGAAGGTCAGGTTCACCACACGCTTGAACAGATAGGCACGTCCTGGGGGGTGACAAAGAGGGGGAATTGCATAACTGGAGGCATCCGCCACGAAGCAATGGAACTTACCGGTGGCGCCTGTGAATCGCGTACTGATCAGCTGGGTTCGGTTGGTCAGGTTAGTGTGGCATTGGGCGCAATTGAAGAGCTTCAGGCCACCAAGGTGCTCCAGAAAAATGCGTCCCATTCTGCTGTTGCCCCTCTCGCTCTAGCCAGCTGGCTCTCTCGCTCGCACTCGCGCTACCCACTCGCTGTGTGTGTGCGGGGTTCCTTTGTTTGGCACGGCTGGGCTCTGGAAAATCACCATAATGCTCAATCCGCAGCCGATACTTCTCCGATCACCTTGAAATGTTGCTGGGCTTATCTTCATTTTTTGCTTTTGTTTTGGATTTGGACTCCTCCTCCATAACTTGCACAACAACACAACAATGGCAACAACGTATTTACCTTACCCAGCTGTTTCAGCCAGATTTAGAATCCTTGGGCGCTGGTGAGAGGTCTTCTGCCAGGTTTGACGCAGTTCTGGTGAAAGATAGATCCGAAATCGCGTACCTGTGTTTAGAAATTGGTGTTAATGCGACGCTTGCAGAAAAGAAAACAAAACGCAGTTGAATGCTTTCTAGAGTTGTCGCCGAGTGTTCTTCTTCATCGATAGAAACTATTGGATGCAACTATCGTATCGCATAGAGATATAAATAAATGTATAAGATCTATCAATTATGTAATTATTATTTTCAATTAAGGAAGTTTTTGATCTGAAAGTGATTTGTAGTTTTATTTATTTTTTAATTAGCAAATCCTAAAAACATTAATGCCCGGAAAACTAGGTATGTTGTACATTTTAGTAAACAAAATGTTGTTCATACAAGCCTTTTTTAAAAACAATTATTTATTTTAAAATAAGGCATATCTTAAATTCTAATCAACATTAATAAACGTAATTAATTTACATTTGAAATACCACAATCCTTATCGATAACACAACCGATATTCTTTTCAAAACAGCTGATTGATTACCTACACGTGATAGCTTGTTGTTGTTACCGATAGTGTTTTATTTGTTGTTGCTGTTGCGTGTCCGAGTTACCTTTTAAAAGTCAAACAACAAAATTCGAAAAAACATGCGTACAAGTTTCTAAATTCATCCCAGGACCTTTGTTTTAACCCATCGCAACCCCCGCACCCACGACTGCATCCCAAACCGATTCGCGACTTTTCGACACCGTTGTATACATTATGGCTGGACCGCTAACGCTGGAGGGCAAGTAAAGAAAAAGCGGTGAGCCAGGAACAAGGAACAAGGTACACGGAACGTATTACTGATTTCTCGAGTCTCCCGGGGAGGCTCCCTATTGCAAGAAACCCAACCCAACCCCAACCGTAATTAGCCAAACGGCATGCAATCACTGCGCTGCCCAAGCCGCAGCCTACTCCTTTTGAACGCCGTTCGAGGACAGCGTTGCCTGCGTATCAGTTTGCCCAGGAACACGACGAGTGGCAGCGTCAGAGGCGGAACTTCTGGCGGCGCTGGAGCTGGTGGAGGTGCTACAGGTGCCAGTGGAGCGAGAGCGGGGCCAGGTGTTAGTGGACTCACGGCAGGGGCTCTGCAGAGGCTGCGCGAGTGGCATGCGAATGCCTTCAGCACTCGGTTTCTGCTCTTCACCAACGTAGGCATCTCGCTGACCCTCAGCTGTCTGGGCGATGTCCTCGAACAGCACTTTGAGATCTACTGCGGCGAGATCGAGCGCTTCGAGTCCACGCGCACCGCCCACATGGCCATCAGTGGCGTTACAGTGGGCATTATTTGCCACTACTGGTACAAAATGCTCGACAGGAGGCTTCCAGGGCGCAGCATGCGTATCGTTGCCAAGAAGATCGTGCTCGACCAACTCATCTGCTCCCCCATTTACATATCGGCCTTTTTCGTTACACTGGGCCTTCTGGAGCGCAAGGACAAGAACGAGGTGTGGGAGGAGATCAAGGAGAAGGCCTGGAAGCTGTACGCCGCCGAGTGGACAGTGTGGCCGGTGGCGCAATTCGTCAACTTTTACTGGATACCCACCCACTACCGCATCTTCTACGACAACATCATCAGCCTGGGCTACGATGTACTCACCTCCAAAGTGAAGCACAAGCAGACGCACCTGAAGAAGCTTCCCTAGCACCAGATGCTTGTAGATATCTCTTTATGTAACTATTTATTTCGACAAAATAACTTTGTAAATATAGACAATCGCCCCGTGTACAGACCAAGAAATGAAACAAAGTGGTATTTTGTCTTTGGGCTGGTTTACCAGTTTCATCGCATATCCTTTTATATTTTTTTTGTTGCCAAAAGAGCCTGGCTTAGCAATACATTCGAAGGTGTATTCTAGTCTAGATGTAATAGAATAATAAATTTTGATACCATTTGTAAACATTTTGTGGAATATATATCCTGAAAAGGGTATGGTGTTTTTATTACTTTTAAGGTTCTTCCTTTGATGGGAGATTCAGTCAAGAGATAATTATTAAATGGTTTGTTTTTTATAGAAATTGTTACACAAGATTGTACTTATCAATGGGATTCTGAAGCTTTAAAAGACTAGAAGCCCTAAAATAGGCAAAAGAACATTTAAAAGCTTCAAAGCTTCTCAGTTTTTAATTTGGGAATGGGATGAGGGGATGTTTAAAAATGGAAATAGTACCGGGTACTTTTAAAAAAAATATCAAGATCATAAAGGAGAATCTAATCTTGAAATACTATAAAAAAATAGGGAAAAGAATGGCATAAAGCCATTTCCTTAAAGGTAAACAAAGAAACCATTAATTTATACTCCCTGGAATTCATGAATATGCATTCTAGGAAACACTATATTTCGCATATAATTATGCCCCAGTTTGATGTAAAGCCACTTTGACATTTTATCGAGAGCACAATGCAGTAATCGATCTTAAGAAATAGCTATTTTGTGTTGTGGCAGCAACCTGTTTAATTACCTGATGGATAGTGAACGGTGGCTCGGATATCGAGAAACCGGTTGCAGGCCACCGAGTGCAGTTGCCACCGTTAACCGCTCAGGGATAGGACACTAAGTGAGGCCTGGAAACGGGCTAATGACCGCCTGGAATAGGGTGGGAACACTAACGGAGAGCAGGAAGTGAGGGAGGACGAGGCCCGTGCGATCTCAAGGCGATGACGCACATGGGGAGGCGTGATAAGGCTTCCCTCTAGCAACAGCCCGGCCGGGCTAACAAACATGCGATGCCTTCCAGATCGGATGCGGTGACAAGCCTACCTTCTGGCTGCCTCCCTCTCGGATCCCTCCCATCTATCTAGCTATTAGCTGATAAGTACTGCTTGGCAGCTACTTCATAATTTGCGGCACATTAAAAATAAATCACAAAACCCATCCCAGTGATAGCGACCACCCCTGATAAGGGGGCTCTTTGCAAAAACATGTAGAGGTATGTAGCTAAAAATATAGATGGGCACGTGAAATCTATTTCAAAAACAAGACTCACGAATATTATTTTCAAATAATCATATTTTGAAATAAATTTTAAATTTTAAATTTTAAAGACTACTAATAGCCAAGTTATAATTGTATATTTTTCTAATCTTTAATATCAAACTCCCCTCTCTAAAGTCGCGAAATATTTTAGAAACACGTCACTCTTATACCATATAAACCTCCGATATTTTGGGGGTTCTTGGTCTTTCGAACTCATATCCATTAATGGAACCCGCAGCTAGCAGTTCCACCTTATCTCGTTTATTTTATTTTGCCTTTTATTTCAAGAGCGTTTAATTAGAATCGTGCTTGACATTGATAATGAAAGTTGCCAAAAAAAAGAAGAAAAATAATAATAAATAGGCAAGAGACTCGCTTCAATGCCATGTGGATGGCAACGAAATCGAGTTCCTTTTGATATAAATAACCTGAATAAATTCCGAGTTTCTTGCCTCGCATTGATTTTTTTTTTGGTTTCGGGTTTGTTTCAAATTTATTTGAAGTGCTTGTTTTTGCTTTTTTTTTTGGACTTTTGGGCTTTGTTTAATTTTTTGCATTTATGTATTTGTGTCTGGGCCTGCTGATCGAGAAGAGAAGACCAGTCGAGACCTTTTCGAACCAGTTTTGCTTTTTTTTTGGCCAAGAAGATTAATATTCAGAATCGAAAGGCTACCTGGCAACTCAATCTTGTTGGAGGGCGAGTCCCTCTATAAAAAATATAAGATTAAATTTAATAAAAAAGGCTTACTTTTAATGGATGAGAACTTTTATTTTATAAATCCATCTTTCAAAATATCTTTTTTGAAGTCTGGTAGAAGCTGGGCTTTATTTTATTCAAAGTAGTATAATTATAGCTCGAAAACTCGTTGTTTGGCTTTGAAACAAAATTAAACCAAGTCTTATAAACCAAAAAAAAAACATTTAAAAATATGCTTTTGATTTTTTCTGATTTATTTTCTGATTTTTAATAATTATTTTTCTCAAACATAATTCTTGAAATCGGGGTAGTGTTTGTAATTCATTCAATTAATGCAACAAAAAAAATAATTTAAAATAATATTGAATATTTTTTAAAGGCATTTTAAAGGAACCACTAATTCTTCAGGGATCTATAAGTATTTTAGTTTCAAATTAATTCATTTCAACTGAGTTCAGAAGTCTATATAGAAGTCTAAGTGCAAAGTCTTTTTAAACCTGAAATGTTTTCACTTTTTTGTGACTTTCCTTAAAAAAACAAATAATCTTTCTAATTTATATTTTTAGATCTAAACTAAACCTATTTTTCTAGCCCAAAATTAAGCCCACAGAAGCTTAACAGCCATGGCATTACAACTTGTAAAGCAAACAGGGCGTATACGTAATGTGCATTTTGGGATTAAAGAAGACACTTGAGATGATAGTTTAATAGGCTTTTTAGTTTATAAAGGCCAGATTAAACTGGTTACACTACATATATATATATTTGCGATTCTGTTTTGGATCAATATATATATATTTGGGGGAAAAACATACTTTTGCTGACGCACTGCGTCATCTGTCATGCATTGAAATGCGTGAGATAATCCCCTCGCGTCGGATTGGTTGAATTTCTGGGCTCGTCTGCGTCCGTGTTTGCCTTTGCGCTTGAGACAATATTGTTTTTTATTTTAAATACAAATGCATTAATATGTTTTTTATGCTTCTTGTTCTGTTTTTTTTTTTCTTTTAGTTATATAAAGCAGAGACTGAAAGAGCAACACACGCGCAGACAGCCAGGTTTTTACAAACAAAAAAGTGAAAAAAAAGAGCGGCGTCGACCAAAGAGCGCTAATAATTTACGCAACTCACAAAAAAAAAAACCAAGCAAACAGGTGCCACAGATACAGATACAACGATACATAGATACTCCCATACTAAGATACTATTACTCAGATACATTGTTAATGGGCTATGGGTATCTATCTATGTATAGCATTTAAATTGGACACTCGACGACGTCCGACGATCTGACTTTTCGACTTTCTGGCTTTTCGTTGATTTGACGGATTTATTTTGCCAACTAGGCACATTTTTACATTTTTTGTCTGCTTTGTGTTTCTGGCAGTTCGGATCGGGTTTTTTTTTACACTTTTTTTTACTATACTTTTTTATGCCATATATTTTTTTGTTTCTGAATTTTGAGAGCCACGCGCAAGTAACTCAAAAATACATTTAGACACTCTAGGTGGGTGTTTCTTACAGTGTGTGTGTGCACAACTCTTTAGCGTTATTTGATCAAAAAAAAAGTTGAAGAAATATGATAAACTAAGAATGCTTTCTAGTTCTCTGGGGATATGGGTCTTGATGATAGAGTCTCTAAGAAGTATGCTGTGGTTTTTGTTTTTAAAAATCAAAGGACATTTTTTGGAAGGGATATTAACTAAAATTTACACAATAAAATAGGTAATACTTCTCTTTAATATCAAAGGATATTTTTTGGAGATATATTAACTAATATCTACACAATAAAATAGGTAATATGGTTCTTCTCGAGGTGTTAGTATTCTTATAATCCACCATTTATAGTCTACTATAGTACTTTTTAAAAGTTATACTATAGTTATGTTGTATAAAGTTGTATAAACCTATATATTAATAGTAACATAGTATAAAAAAAAACCAAAATTATAAAAACAATATATTTTACTTAAAAAACATAAACAAAAATTATAGTTCCTATTGCCTAGCTTTAAAAATAGAAATCATATTTAGCAATACATAGTAAGTATTCATACATTATTCATTTTAGAAACTTTAAAAAAAATATATTTAACAAAATAGTAACCATTTAAACTTTTTAGAATAATTTTTCTTAAGCAATAATAGAATAAACCTTAACACTTCTTTTTAATATACCAAAACCTCTCCTAGTCTTTTACTGATTTCCTGGTCTAATACTCCCTTGATACCCTATAAGTTTTGGATGTTCCAACCTTTGTGTACACTACAACTTTGTGGGTACACAGTACACACATGGGGCACAAATTTCGAACACATTCTCGTATATTCTTTAGCCTTTTTTTTTTGCGGAGAGCCGCACGTGTCGCTGACAAATCGGAAAATCAGACCACCACTTGATCGGTTCCATATATTCTACCATATATAATATACTCAATATAGTACCATTTAACTCCTTTTCTGAAAAGGGGGGCTTGTCTCAAGGCACGCGACTTGGCCACGATTGTGTTTTTTTTTTGGCCATAAACCGGCAAACGTTAAAAAGATCGTAAAAAAGCGTTATAATCGAGCTCTTTCTTGGCTTCTTTTTTTATGAACATTTTTGTTCCTTTTGCCCCCAACCTTGAAAAATAATATCTGCCTGGAGAGTGGTAGGTGAGGCGGGTGTGGGTGTGAAGGGGCGATTCGTTGGCGAAAAGAATCAATTAGAGAGATAGTCCCGGCAGCTGGTAAACACCAGAAATTCTGTTTTTTCCTTCCAATCTTTTAGATTTTTTTATTTCTCTTTTTTTTTTGTGCTATTTTTGAATGCCAAAGATCGACAGTGAAAATTAGTGGACAGAGGGGTGTGGGAGGAGGTGGGGGCTGCACAACTGGAGGGCGGGGGTGGGTGTTGGTCGGTACAAAGACCTTGAGCAGCAAAAAATGTATTCGGAGATATACAGACAAGAATATAAAGAAAGCCCGCGTAAGCAAATAAATCACTTGGCAGCGCCTACGATTTCTGGCCATCATAAATATCTATTTAATATATATATGTATGTATATATACGTGTATATATTTGTATATACTTTTAATATAGATTCGAAGAAATCAGTTGACCAGAAGTTAAGCCTTTCCATGTGGAAAAAGGAAATTGATTCGTTGGCTTAAGTTGGAAAGAATTCTTTATTAAAATAACAAGTAGGTGCAAGTGTAAGAATTATAAAACACAAATAAATGGTTA